ACAGACTCTTTCATCTCTTGTAGTTCTTTGAACATGCCAGGTGAGCTCACACCTAAGGGCTTTTTCTCTTGCCGTTATTGCTACCTGGAATACTCTTTCCCCAAATACCCTCAGAACTTGTTCATTCACCTTCTTAGACTTCTGCTCAGTCAGGTCATCAGCAAGAACTTTCCTGTCAATCTGTCGTGTAACAGCACTCCCCACACTGACTTATTCTTCCTTGCTTTATTTTTCTCCGTAGTGAAATTATCTGATACCCTGTATATCTTTATATATTTATTTTTTAATTACATGTCTCTGTCAAAATGTAAATCTATGAAAATACAGACTTTGGCCTATTTTGTTCTTGGCTATAGTTCTAGTGTTTAGACTAGTTCCTGGCATATAATGGAATGAATTAATAGGTAGGAACTGCTTCAGCCCAATCATTCATTTGATCAAAAATCTTTTTTTTTTATTACCCAGAATTTCTTTTTTATTACCTAGTATTTCCAAGATTCTATATGGACAAACTATGGGGATTAAAGATGAAAAGAAATGATGATTTATAGCTCTGAGCAGCTTATAATATATGGGGGAAATAGACAGTGACTGACAAGTATAGTAAGTAAATTTCGGTGTGTATGTGGGTCATGAAGAAGGTTTGACAGATGAAATGCCATTTGATCTGAATAAAAAATGAATAATATTTTGAGAAGTTAAAAATAAACAAACCAATAAGTATACAAACAAATAAATGGTGTGGGGGAAAGAAGACACCACAATCACAATTCCTTGAACTTGTTAAGACAAGTGAACAGATACGATGTAGATGGCAGGGGAGGGGGAGAGGAAGGGGGAAAAGTGGGAAAAGTGGACATGAAAAACAACTGCATCATATATTGACAAGCTAAAATAAAAAAAATATAGATAATTTCAGATAAAGATAATTTCTGGTAGGAACAACAAAATCAGAGCCACCGGATCTTACAAATCTGTCGTAGACTAGCCCTCTTTGTCTGTCTAGTATGTGTGATTGCTTATTTCTCCTCCAGGGAAGGGATAGTTAACACTGATCATACTGATATAGCAGTTTAACTTCAAATGCTCTTTGTTTGTGCTTTCATCAGGTGAAACATTAGCTTTGGTCTGCTAGATTACCTACTATTCTTCATGTTAGCAAGTCCATGTGGCAAACTACTTACTGTCATAGGTAACAGCAGCATAAGTGGCCAAAAAAATGTTATTTGATTTCGGTGAAATGTCCAGTTGTATTTAACTTCCATAATTTATATACTTTTTCATACAGTGTATTAATATAATACTATTAAATTGAATTTTCTCATTTTTTCCCCTTTAGATAACATGAGAGTGAACCTACCAATGAGCTAATGGATGAAGTCAACCACTCTGCAGTGTCTGAATTTGTGTTCCTGGGACTCTCAAATTGCTGGGAACTCCAGATTTTTCTTTTTTGCTTTTCTTGTCTTTTCTATGTGTCTAGTTTGATAGGAAACCTCCTCATAGTAGTCACTGTAACCGCTGACCTTTACTTGCATTCCCCCATGTATTTTCTGCTGGCCAACCTCTCTGTCATAGATCTGATATTTTGCTCCATTGCAGCACCCAAGATGATTTGTGATCTTTTCAGGAAGCAAAAAGTCATCTCCTTTGGGGGCTGTATAGCTCAGATCTTCTTTAGCCATGCTGTTGGGGGCACTGAGATGGTGCTGCTCATAGCCATGGCCTTTGACAGATATGTGGCCATATGTAAGCCTCTCTACTATCTGACCATCATGAGCCCACGAATGTGTGTTTTGATTTTAGTGGTTGCCTGGGCCACTGGTCTCTTTCATTCATTGGCCCAGTTGGCTTTTGTTGTAAACTTGCCCTTCTGTGGCCCTAACGTATTGGACAGTTTTTACTGTGACATACCTCGGCTCATCAAACTTGCTTGCACAGATACCTATAAACTGGATTTCATGGTCACTGCTAATAGTGGGTTCATTTCCTTGGGGGCTTTCTTCTTACTCATCCTGTCTTACATTTTCATTCTTGCCACCCTTCAGAAACACTCTTCAGGAGGTTCATCCAAGGCTCTTTCTACTCTGTCAGCTCATATTACTGTGGTTGTTTTATATTTTGGTCCACTGATCTTTTTCTATATGTGGCCCTCTCCTTCAACACATCTGGATAAATTTCTAGCCATATTTGATGCAGTTTTGACGCCTTTTTTAAATCCAGTCATCTATACATTCAGGAACAAAGAGATGAAGATAGCAATGAAGAGAGTGTTCCGTCAGCTTATGGGTTTTAGAAAAACCACTTAAACGGCTTGATTGAAACACAAAATTTTCAAGTGATCATTGGAAGTCCATAGCAGCCAATCCTCACGAAGAAGGGATTTTCTTCCATGTATCACTTTGACATTCATCACCCATAGGGTGGATCTGTTTCATTCCCACTGAAGAATGTGTGACATTCTTCCTTAAAGAGAACAAGGAACTTTTACATAGAGGATACTTCAAAAAGTTCATGGAAAAATAGAATTAAAAGATAGTATGAATCTTTCCATAAACTTTTTGAAGACCCCCCCCATACAATGTATAGAATCAAAGATTGTATTAACTTATTTTTCAATTCCTAAAGAACTGGGCCAAGAGTAGTGTTCACAAATATTAAATAATGGTATAGTTTGTTTTTCAGGATAACTGTATGACTGTTTTCAAGCTGTTCTACCCTGAATTGGTGTACTTGTTAACATCATGTTTTAGTATCTGTTTGCATCCCATATCTTCCTTTTTACTTGTTATGCTTTGTTATCTCAGCCTTTTGGTTATGGGTTAAAGGTAGCAATCATCTTTAGGATATGTAATCACTTATACATTCTAATCCACAGATCTAGCTTACATGCTTTGTTCCATGTGTTTAAGAGTGTTAAGTAGATTGGGTGTTGGCCAACTTTTTCTGTAAAGGGTCAAATTGTAAATAGTTTTGGTTTTGTAGGGTACATGGTCTCTGTTGCAACCACACAATTCTGCTGTTGTGGCACGGCAATAGCCATAGATAACACATGAATAGGCATGGCTGAGTTCCAATAAAACTTAATTTACAAAAACAGAGGCAGGCTGGATTTGACCAAATGGCTATAGTTTGCCAACTCCTGAAGTAGATTGTGCCCAACATCTAGACTTCCCTATCTGCCCAAATATCACAGTCTTTTTCTTATAACAAGAGTCTAAAATGAAAGGCAGTCTAGTGTAGCACAAAATTTGCATTGAAATAGAAAGATTCTATTATCAGTAGTATAGTTACTGTGTTATCTTACCTGACTTATAAGTCACTTAACCTCTCCGAAATTCAGTTTCTTCAAAGGCAGCAATAGAACTCAGGTTTACGATGATGATGAAGTGAGATGGTATTTGAAAAGGCTTTATCAATTTAAAAGTTAGCTTGAGTCCCTTTCCTGGACTATAACCACTTGCTTAGAGTCAATCAACTTAAAATTTGTTTTGTCTTCTGAGTTATCAATCACACATTAAATTTACCTTCTACTTTGTACTGTATCTGTCTTACACACCAATGAAAACATCTTATGATGTATTTCCATGATTGTGTCTTTTCATTGTAGTCTGGTGTGTACTTTCATTGCTTCATGTCACCTGTAGAACTGAAGACTTAATAGTTTACTTCCTTTTTCAAGTTGTTGGTAAAAAATAATAATGGCTAATATCTACAGAGTACATACTCTATTCCAGGCACCACTCTTAGTATTAACTAATTTAATCCTCACAGCAGTCCTTGAGATAGATACTATCATTTTCATTTCATGTAATGGGGGATGGAGGTACAGACAGGTGAAATAACTTGTCCAATGTTAGTAAATGGTAGGTTTGGGTTTAAATCCAGGCAGTCTGACTCCAGAGGCCAAATTCTTTATTATTATGTAATTTTTTTCTCCCTCACAAAACTGGTTTAATATTGATCCTTGATGAACACTAGCTTTCATTTCTTTACTTAAGGCCAATTTGTTTACACTCTTCTCCCCATACATATGTCAGTTCCATTTTGTATGCCACATTTTCTTTATCCATTTATCTGTCGATGGACACTAAAGCTGATTCCATAAGACAGTACTTCAAAAAGTTCATAGAATAATTCATATTATATTTTAATTCTATTTTTCCATGAATGTTTTGAAGTACCCTCACCACCACACCACAGTTAGACTGGCTATAATGAAAAGGAAAGTGAATAACAAATGCTGGTGAGGGTGTGGAGAGAAGGGAACACTCCTGTACTGTTGATGGGACTGCAAATTAGTACAACCACTATGGAAAACAGCATGGAAGTTTCTCAAACAACTACAGATAGATCTTCCATATCATCCAGCAATCCCACTTTGGGGTATATACCCAGAGGAATGGAAATTATCATATCGAAGGGACACCTGCACTCCCATGTTCATTGCAGCTCTGTTTACAATAGCCAAGACATGGAACCAACCTAAATGTCCATCGATAGATAATTGGATAAGGAAATTGTGGTTATATATACACCATGGAATACTACTCTGCCATAAAAAGAATGAAATACTCCCATTTCCAACTATTCCCATTTCTCCATGGATGAACCTGGAGAAACTTATGTTGAACAAAATAAGCAAAGCACAGAGGGATAAGTACTGCATGTGCTCACTCATATGTGGGAGCTAAGAAAGAAAGAATAAAGGAAAGAAAGACCACAGTAGTGCATTGGTCTTACAGAGGGAGAGACATTCCTAGGGCTACAAAGTGGAGTGGGGGAGGAAGGGTAGGGCGGTTGGGGAGTAGTTGGGTGGGGGACATGGGGTACAAAAGTAATTTCTGGTAACGGGTATGCTGCCAGTATGAATCTGGCCCTCACATCATGGGCACAAGGGGTGACAATTAGCTTTGCATCTCATGAATATTCATAATAAAAATAAATAAATTAATTAAAAAATAGATTTAGTATCTGCAGAAGGCGGCATATGTTGCTCCCAAGATCTCAATGTATGGGGTTGTGATTCACACTTTGATCAGCATCTCCCTTTTCCTCATCTATCCTTCTCTCCTAGTTTCTGATAAACATCATTCTACTCTCTACTTCTGTGAGTTTGACTTTTTTAGGTTCCACATGTAAGTGAGATCATGCAGTATTTGTCTTTCTCTTTCTGGCTTATTTCACTTGCATAATGTCCTCTAGTTTCATCTATGTTGTCAGAAATGTCAGGATTTTCTTCTTTTTAAAGGCTGGATAGCATTCCATTATGAATATATACCATTCATTTGTTGATGGACATCTATGTTGACTCCATATCTTGGCTATTGTGAATAATGCTTCAGTGAACATAGGAGTACAGATGTCTCTTCAGCATGCTAATTTTATTTATTTATTTTTTGGTTTATGGTATACCAGATATAGGATTGCTGGATCATATGGTAATTCTATTTTTACTTTTCTGAGGAATCTCTATAGTGTTTTCATTAATGTCTATATTAATTTACCTTGCCACCAAAAGTGCACAAGGGCACCATTTTCTCTACATTTTCACCAGCACTTATTATCTTTCATCTTTTTTGATAATAGCATTTCTAACAGGTGTGAAGTGACAGCTAATTGTAGTTTTAATTTACATTTCACTGATGATTAGTGGTGATAAGCATTTTTTCATATTTGTTTGACATTTGTATGTCTCCTTTTGAGAAAAGTCTGCTTAGGTCCTTTGCCCATTTTTTGGATTGGGTTATTTATTTTTTTGCTGTTGAGTTGCTTAAGTTCCTTATATATTTTGAATATTAACCCTGTGTCAGATGTATGGTTTGCAAATATTTTCTCCCAACCCATGGCTGTCTTTTCACTCTATTATTTCCTTTATTGTACAGATGCTTTTTAGTATGATACAGTCTTGTTTATTTTTACTTTTGTTGCCTGTACTTTTGGGTTCATATCAAAAAAATTATTGTCCAGACAAATGTCATGAGCTTTTGCTGTATGCTTTCTTCCAGCAATTTACAGTTTCAGGTCTTATGTTTGTTTACTCATTAATCTATTTTGAATTGATTTCTACATATGATGTAAGATAAGAGTCCAATTTCATTCTTCTGCATGTGAATGTCCAGTTTTCCCAACATCATATATTGAAAAGATTGTCCTTTATTGTGTGTTCTTAGCACCTTTGGCAAAAATCAGTTGACTGTAAATGCATGGGCTTATTCTTGGGCTCTCTATTCTCTTGGTGAATGTGTCTGTTTTTAAACCAGTACAATGCTGTTTTGATTTTGAAGTCAGGTAGTGTGATGCCTCCAGCTTGTTCTTTTTGCTCATAATTGCTCTAGCATTTAGAATCTTTTGTGGTACCATGCATATTTTGGAATTGTTTTTTCTATTTCTGTAAAAGTGACATTGAAAATTTGATAGAGGTTACAGTGATTCTGTAGATTGCTTTGGATAATATGGACATTTTAAGACTCTTAATTGTTCATATCCATGAACATGGGGCACCTTTTCATTTATTTGTGTCATCTACAATTTCTTTCACTAATGACATACATGTGTTTTCAGTATACAAATCTTTAGCATCCTCGGTTAAATCTACTCCTAAATGGAAATCATCATATCAAAGGGATACTTGCCCTCCCATGTTTATCACAGCTCTATTTACAATTGCCAAGATATGTAATCAACTTAAATGTCCATCAATGGACAACTGGATGAGGAAAATGTGTTAAATACACATAATGGAATACTACTCAGTCATAAAAAAGAATGAAATTTTGCCATTCACAGCAACATGGATGAGCTCACTCTCACTCATAAGTGGGAGTGAAAGAAAGAAAAAAAGAAAGAAAAAAAGATAAGAATAATTCACGGAACTTTTAGAAGGAGAAAACAACTGTGGTTACTAGAGGTAGAAAATGGTGGGGACGGGTAGTGAGAAATTGGTTTTTGGACACAAGGAATGCTTTCATTTTGTAATGAGGAACATACTGATTATCCTGATTTGATCATCACACATGGTACACAGGTATTGATATTCAACTGTACTCCACAAATATGTGTAATCAACTATTTTTCAATAAAAAGATTTACTCCTAAGTTTTTTTTTGATGCTTTTGTGAGTGGAATTTATATTCTAATTTCTTTTTCAGGTAGTTGGTTGTTAATGTTAAGAAACTCTACTGATTTTTGGTATGTTGATTTAGAATCCTTCAAGTTTACTGAATTTGTTGATCAGTTCTAACAGTATTTGGTAAAATTCTTATCTTCTTCTTGATTTTGCAGGAAAAATTTTCAATTTTTCATCTTT